GCGGCGGCGGCGGCGGTGTCGGCGTCGGAGCGTGGGGAGGAGTCCCGGGAGTCCATGAGGGGAATTGAATTTGGGTTTGGAGAGTGGAGTGGTTGGTGTGGAGTGAGAAAAAGGAGAAGAAGAGTGCGTGTGTGGGGGGTTTTATGAGAGAAGGAGGGTGTGCTGTGGTATGGTAGGCCCCAAAAGTGTCAGACTCCGATGAGTAGGACGCCCATTCATAAGGTATGCCACTCTATAGCTACTGACTCATTAATTTATTTTAACTATTTTATATCAGTTTTAATTTATTCATTTTAAAATCATTTTAAAGAAGTTTTGATAAATTTAGTTATAAAAATTTATTTATTTTTTCTATTTTCTTCTTTAATATTTGAATAAGTTTTTTTTTTGTAAAAATATGGAAAATTATAAAAATAGTTTCAGTGAGAATTGAACTTAGATCCTCATATTTCTAACTATTTCCTCACTTAATCACTAAGCTAACCCTAATAGTCTTATTTAAATAAATTTTGATAAATTTATGTTTACGTTAATTTTATTTTATATTTTTAATTTCTTCTAGAAATCAAATTTATGATTGAAATTCGTTGTGTTTCAATAAAATATAATTAATAAAAATATGTAATTTTTTCTTTCAAGGATGATAACATAGGTTGATCATGAAAAAAAAATATTGTCTAATGCGATACAAAGTGTATTCAAAACATTTATCATTTGCTTAAAAAAAAACATTTATCATTTCTATTTATTTTTAAAATGATAAATTAATAGCTGTATTCCGCGTGTGAATACGCCTACTCCGCACAGAATAGCTGCTTCGTTACTTGAAAACCAGTAATTTTGTTCATTTAATGTGTTTTTTTTATACTCTATTCATATCCATGTAATTAATTAAAAATATTCGTTTTCAAGTTTTTATTTTTGATATGGATATTAACTATGTTTTTGGGTAGATGTATATTAAATTCCTTTTTGATCTGCATATTAATTATTTTATTTTGGAATAATCTGTATATGAAATATTTTTTATCTGCGTACTAAATAAAATTCTTTTTAATTGTGTATCCTGTTAGATATTTTTTTTTATCTTTTAATAATTTTTAAAAATTGTCAAAAATTAAAAAATAAACGTTGGTTGTATTTTTAAAATATAATTTATAGATTATATTTATTTATTTATTTTAAATTTTAATTATAAAAAATTACTTATCACATATAATACACGAATTATTTTTTTGTTATAATTAGAATAAAAAAATATAGATGTTTCAACCTTCTCAACTAAACATTTTTCATTTTTTTTTTCTCTCGTCTTATTTAGTATAGCGATCTTATTAACTTTTGGAATAAATTAATCACATCTATACTGTTTAAATGTTTAATGTCTTAGATTTTATTATAATTAATTTATAAAAAATAAACAAAAATACCAGCCAACTAATTTTTTTTGAAAAAACTAAAAGAAAATACATGCACATTAAATTTTTCTTATAATAATATGAGAATAACTAAAAATAACCTTTAAATTAAATTAGATAACTTTTATTTATACAGTTCATGTATCACTATTATCATAATTATTGTTATTATTATTATTATCATAATCACAATTATTTGTTATTATTGTCGTTATAATTGTTACCGCTTACATCACTATTACTACAATCTAATATATATGAATATAATAATAAAGATTTTTTATCTTATATAATTAAAATGAAAATATAATTTAATTAATTAAAATATTTAATCATAAAATAAGCTCATCTCAATACATAAATATAATAATAAATATTTACTATCTAATATGTTTGATGTAAAAGCTGATGACCAAAAACAATATAAAAAGATTTTATTTTAAATTTTATTCATTTTACTTAGACTATACAGAATTAATACTTATATATTAAATAAGATCTTGCACAACATTTAAATATTATGCATTCAACGTGTTTATGATAATTTTATATTTTATTTATTAAAATATTAATTTATACTTATTAATTCGATTGAATAATTTCTAATTATTTTATAGTATGCATAATACAATAAGCAGCACACTTTTATGTTTTTAAATATTTTTTTATCATTATGTTTTTTATGATTCTATTAATAAAGAGTTAGCAAAAGTACATGAGATTCATATAACATTTTTAACAGAAAATAATCAAATTCCATCCAAAGTTAAGTGCAATTTGATTTATTGGAATTCATATTGCTTCCTTCCACAGGATAACTTTATGCATAATACATGGGCCTTTGTGGTTTACACTTTACCTACACAACATAAATCTTTTCCAAATGAGGCTCCCACATAATAAAAAATGGTGGCTCCCATAAATATTTCAATGGATGTTATCTGCATATAACTAATAAAACGAACAACTCTCAGCCACTTCAGACGCTTCCATGCTACACACCACTAGTAGTACAACTCTCATGTCACAAAGTTCAAAATAGAACCGTTGGCATTTTGTGTTTTAATAACAAATTTAGGGTATAATAGAATTGGAGTGGGCCATTTATGTTTTCATAATAGGAAGAGCGTGAGTTTCTCTCTTAACGACCTTGAAAAGCATAGCTTACCGTAACTTATTCAAGTTTAAAAATTATAACTATTACAATAATAAAAATTAGGGGTTAAAAAAAATAAAATATAGAAATATAGAATTACATGTTCTATTTCACAACGGTCTCGTTATATCTAAATTACATTTCAAGTTCTTATATCTAAAATCCATTTCCTTGTTGATGGGTTGTCTTTTTTAGAAATGTTTTTTTTTTTTTTTTAAGAATATGTTATAGTTGTGCATTGGGTATCTATGAATGTTTTCACATTAGAATAATATTATTTATGGTCCACTCAAATGATCTCATTCCAATAGAATAAATATAATAGAATAAGTATGTATTTTATAAATTTATACCTCATTTCTTAATAATGTAAAATTTTATTTGTATCCTAATAATTATAATAATAAATTATAAATTTATTACAATTTCGGTAGTTATTTTTTTAATTGACAATTATAACAGTAATTTATGCAACTTCCTAATTTTAGTATAAAATTATGGAGAATTTATGAAAATAACGTTGTTCCTTTATCGTAAAGTAGACGGACAAGCTATTAGAAGAAGAAGAAAATGCTTTAAAAAAATTGTCAAAACTTCTGCTATACATATTTTTCAAATCTCATATATCTCAAAGTACACTTTAATTTTAGAAATAAACACTAAACAACATAATCATTACTTCTTAAGTGAAAATACAAGTTGATGAGACATAAATCTTGGCCAATAAACAAAACAAATCTTTTTATTAGACTTGCTGTAAATTCCCAACTCAATCTCATGTTGAGTTTACTTTAGTTTGATTTGCAATCACCTTTATATTCAAAACGCTAAAACTAGAAAATAAACAAAATCTTAGTGACCTTAGAGGTAAAAGACAAAAGAAAATACAAATAAGGAGGATGAATTGCATTTTGAAAATCTTATTTTCACTAAAATAGTACTACCATTTAAGTTGAAAATATAAAAATGTTTTATTTCAGTAGTGTAATGCCCGATTCTAACTCTCAATTTATATAATAATAATTATATTTCTTATAGAGCGGTTGAAGAAGGTTCTTAAAAGATTGGTTCTAACTTGTGATGGTATCTGCTTCACTCTTTTTCTCTTTAAACCTTACTTTTTTTTTCCTCTCTATGAAATTGTGCTTCTATTTCTAATTTTCAAACCTTTTATAAATCTTTAATATTAGGCTTGTTGTACATCACTTAGACATCTAGATGATTCACTTAAACGAATCTTCGTAATTCTTCTGATGGTTATTCTCGCTTAAATAAATTAATGTTATCATATCTTATTTACTTGCAACTAAATCTCGTTCAAGCCGTGTCAGAATGACTCGTTCTAAGCAAGACTCCCTAAAACTGGTTCCTCATTTTTCTTAATTTTTTAGACTCTTCATGAAGTTTTATCTTCTCATATTCTTTTTTTGTATATTAAAAGTATCTAATAAACCACAAAAAAAATGCACGTAAAAGCTCTAATATAATTTTTATTACTTTTCTTTTTACTAGAACATGACTAAAAAAATACAAAACATGTTCGATAGTTACCTAAATTACTAATATATATATATATATATACCCATATTTGACAATTATCTCTTTTCTCGCAATTCCATGAGATTTCACATACTGTATCTCAACAGTAATTGCGAGAAGAACAGTAGTGGGAACACCTTACACAGCCGTTTAATGTGCATGAAGCTTAACTGTGAACCCATACTCTAGAAGATGTCACAACTCACAAACACGCGTGCATGGTTGTGGATAAATTTAATTCATGACTATGACTATTAGGTAGAACTGAAGTTGTCATTGATATTCTTATGGAGAAGACAATATTTGATCGATTGGTCTCATGGGAATCTCATATTCATACAACAGATATAACCACTTGCAAATAATCTCACTTTGTTTTTTCCCTAATAATACTCTTGGAGGATCAATGGACCACAACGCCAATTAATTTTGGTCCACTTATATATACAAAAGCGTTCTCCTTTGCTTATAATGTGGGAGAGTGGGTGATATAATCTAAATATATGGTACAAAAATAATAATGCCACTAGGTAGTAAACAATTTTAAAATATTCCTCGTCAATCAAATTAGAACGCATAAATTTCTAATTAAGTTATAATTAAAAGGGTTCTTTTTAATATTTTTTCCTCTTAAATAAAATATTGGTGATGATTTTATTAAAAATATTTTTATGTCGTATCCCAGTTGTGACACTTTATAGTGATTATGTTTTTAAATTTGAAATATGAAATTGTGTTATTATG